AATAATTCTGGCTAAGTGGTTTCACTGCTAAATTCTTCCAAAAAGGGTGAAATGATATTTATTTCACAAAACTATTCCAGACTACAGAAGAGGAGGAAATACTTCCCAACTCACAGTGGGATGTCAACATTACCCTGATATCAAAGCCAGGCAATGACATTACATGAAAAGAAAACTAGAGACCGATATTTCTCATAAATAATGATGCAAAATTGCTTGGCTAAATGTTAGAAAATGGAGTCCAGCAATATATAAAAGGTATGCTATATCATAACAAATGAAGTTTATCCAACAAAGTATGGTTGGTTTAACATTTGAAAATCAACCGATGCAATTCGTCATATTAACAAAGTAGATGATAAAAATATATAATCATTTTAATAGATGAAAAAAACAATTGAAAAAATTTCTCATCTATTTATGATACAAATTCTCAGCAAACTGAGAAAAAAATGAATTTTTCCCAACTTTATAAAGGGCATTTATGAAAAACCTACAAACAACATTATATTTAATACTGATAGACTGATCATTTTTCTCCTAAGATTGGGAATCAGTCAAAAATATTTGTTCTTACCATATGTATTCAATACTGTACTGACCCTAGCAAGTTCAATAAGGCAAGAAATAGAAATAAACAGTATACACATTGGAAATGAAAAAGTCAAACTGTCTTTATTAGTAGATAACACATTCAGGTATGTAGAAAACTCTAAGGAATCTACAGAAAGTGTACTAGAAGTAATAAATGAACTTATAAAGGTCACAGATATACAGTCAATGTGCAAAAAGCTATTGTTTATTTTTGTATTAGTAATGAACACTATGTTCACAATACGACTTGTACTATATTGCTCCTGGCAGCTTTATTTTCAGTATGTCAAACTTGCAAGCAATCCAGATGTTCATCATCATTCAAAATCTACAAATTGTTGTTTAAATTTATATAATGGATCATAGCAAAAAATAAGTTAACTCTTGTGATATGCAATAATATGCTTTTTTCTTATAGAAATTATGCTGAGCAAAAGAAGTCAGATTAAAGACCACATATTGTAGGATTTATTTTATGAAGTTACGGAATAAACAAAGCTAATTTAAGGTGAAAAATCTGACTGGTGGTTGTCTTGGAGGGAAGATTACTGGGATGAAACAAAGGAAAATTTGTGGAATGATAGAAGTTCCTATATTAAGAATGGTTTGTGAGTTACTGAGATGTATCCATTTGTCAAAATTGTACAGCTAAGAATTATGAGTCCATATACCTAAATTTAATACCTAAAAAATACCGGTAATCATCATTATTATCATTGAGTGTGGAGAGTTAGGCATAGATGATAGATTGGCAAAATGTTAGTAGTTGCTGAAACTAGATGGAATATATAAGGACTTATTATGCTCTTCTGTTTACATTGTGTTTGCAATGTTCCATTATTAAAAGTTAAACAAAATTAACTCAAAATGGATTACAGATCTAAACAGTAGGACAAAAAAATACAAGTTATAAAAGAAGACAGAGATGAAAAAAAAAGTCATAACCTTGGACTAGGCACACAATTTTAGATAGAACAACAACAACAAAGCACTAACAACAATATAAATTGAACTTCATAAATAGTTAAAACTCTGTTCCTGGAAATACTACTAAGAAAATGAAAAGCAGGACACTCACCAAACCACATATCTCTCTTGTAGTAAATTGCACTTGAAGATTTTTTTAAAGGTTTGCCCTGATTAATCTCACTCATATTGTACTTTCCAGCAGTTTTAATTTCTTGTGTACCCTTTATACTCCTCGTAGATGATAGATTTTACAGTATCATTACATAAGTTAGCACTTTTCCTAATTTTTAAGTCCCCAAGAAAAAGAATTTAAGAAAAAGAACTCAGTTTTGAAGAGCTTCAAGATGCTTGCTCCAGCTCCAGCCTTTGCAGTAATTTCTGCCATTTAATTACTCTTTTTTGCCAGTACCTATGAGAAAGGGGGAGATTTCTTCTACAGATACCTCGACCTTGACAGGTACATCTTCTAACATTATTGTTGCTTTAGTACCAATGTTATCATAATGAAGATTTTGACTTAGTTTCAGTAAACCTCAATTTAATTTTATCTACTTTCTCAGAGCTAATTGAGGCTATTTTACTGAAGTCTTCTTGACTGCCATCTCTTCTCTCCTGCCAGGTTTGTGCTTCTTATTGAAATTGGGAATCTAATGTTAAGTGATTGGCTTAGGTACTTTCGAAACTCAATTATCTGTCAGAAGTCTGAGAGTAATGCACATATATGACACATATATGCAAAGATACTTTATTGCATGTCAGTCTTTATATGTTTTTGAATGTGACATATATAATAATATCACCCCAATTAGAAATAAATAGAAGAAAGATGCCTTTTTTCAGATATTCATGTTTTAGAAGTTGACAGTGCTGCACAGAATGGGAAAAGATCAAAATACACTTTCTTTTTCTCACTGTTTGTTTTGGAGTGATCATCAGGTAACATGGCTATAGAGAAGCCCAGCGTCAGATAGTTCTGTAAATGAAGTTGCCATGGCAACTCTCTCTGAAGTAACAAATTCCCCTTAGAGTTTCCAGAGAATCCTCAATTTCTGTACTTGGATCTCAAGGAGAGTCTGCCTTATGGACTTATTTTGATTTTGTTTTCATAAATTATTTTTCTCCATTTGTAGTTTTTGAACAGTGGGATTGAGACAGAGATTGGGATTCATTGAGTCACTCTGGGAGATGGACGATTCTAAGGGCAACGTGACAGATGAAGCACTGTCATTGCTGAGACTGAACTGACAGTGAGCAAGTTCTCACAGGTGTATGTATGTACACATCCTCATAAACACACACAAGCCTGTGTGAAGTGGTTTTAGTTGGACTTTTCTGGACAATACCAAGTAGACTTAGTATCTGCTTTTGTGTTCAGATTTCATAAAACTTCTCAGGCTGGGCTCGGTGGCTCGGCCTGTAATCCCAGCACTTTGGGAGACCAAGGCAAGTGAATTGACTGAGGCTGTGGGTTCGAGTCCAGCCTGGACAACTTGGTGAGACCTCGTCTCTACAATAAATAAAAAATTAGCTGGCCACAGTAGCATGCGCCTGTAGTTCCGGGTACTCAGAAGGCTGAGGCGAAAGGATCGCCTGAGCTCAGCAGATGGAGGCTGTGGTGGCGGCGAGTGTGCCACTGCACTCCAGCCTGGGCGACAGAGTGAGATTCCAACTATAAAAACAACAAAAAACAAACAAACAAAAAAATTTCTCAAAGATTATTTCTGCCATCAACCCAGGATCAAAAACATATCTAACCCACCAGCACACTGAAGCTTAAATTTCCCCAAATAGAAATTTACATTTTGGCTATAAAATCTATAATCCTCCATATACAAAAGCCCCTGGGGAGGGGTGTAAAAGGCAAGTTGCTACAGGAACATTGATTGGTCCCTATGTTAATGAAATCCCTTCCAGAAAACTGTTTTGACAATGTGTGCAGTTTAGAGAAGCCAGTTCTGGTGTGTAGAGACCAAATTAGGTGTCACTTATGTACATCAAGTACTTTGTGATGGCATAAGAAGCTCAGCAAAGTCAGTTGCCCCTATAAGATTTTGGTAGATCAGGGTTCGACTCAAGATTCTGGAAGCTGTTAGCTGTGTGGGCTCCTCACTTTAAAAATGGAGATTAACAGGTCTAATTCATGAGATTCCTGTAATAAATGAGTAAAATCATTTGTACATTGCTGTTGGCTCCTTGGTGTCTGTATGAGGGTGTTGGATCAGATACAGTATTTGGTACACAGTAAGTGCTCAATAAAGAGTACCAAGAATTGTTTTGCTTTTAAACATACTTAAAAAAATATAATTTGAATGAAAGAATAAGTCATTAAAAGTCAGGTGGAGCATTATCAAGGGTATAAACAAACTTTTCCTTTTCCTTAGGGAAGGTGGTCTCTGGCAATGGCCCTGAGGGAGCTTCTATAACTAGCTCACTGAGGTCTCTAATCCAGAACAAAATTCTTTATTCTCTTGCTATGGTGTTAGGAAAAAATGCTGTCTTATACCTGGAAGCTGGACAGGACCCCTGGGACAAAGCCACAGAGATTGTGTTCTTCGCTCAACTAGAGAACTAAGATAAGCTAGAGGTTTTGATCCTCAAAGCGGAAAAGCAGATGCAAAGAAGTCTGGGCTCCAAGTTGTCAGCTTCTTTTCAGCAGAGCCATTTGTGTCTCTGTGAAAGAGTTGGATGAGAGGCAGTAGAAAACAGCCCTGGGGCTCTAAACAGAAATAGGGTGAATGCCTGCCTGACCTGCTGGGTGCTGAAAGAGAGTGGTTAAAAGTTTGAACTGGGAGATCCAGACTGCTCAAGTTCATTTGCTGCTGCATCTCAGTAGCACTGAGACTTTGTGCAAGTGGCTTAGGACAAGTGTCCTCATCTGGGGAATGAGAATAGTTGTAATGCCATATGGCATTTAGTATATTCGGTAAATGTTTTATTTTTTCTTAGATTTTAATTATAACTTTACATCATTACTCCATTATTATTATCCCATAATAATTCCATGCCATGTCAGTCAAAGACTCTGGGAAACACAATCTCATCTTTCTGCTTTTCTAGTACAGACCCCAAGGTGGGTGGTCTGGGCAAGGTCAAGTGGCTTCCACCTCTCAGGAATCACTCCAGAGAAGTGCTCCTGCTCTGTTGTGAGGGAAGGAAATACACAGGAGAGGGCCACAGTAAAGGCTGAAGGGTCATCCCAACTCAGTTTTGTGGGCTGTCTCCTCAGTTGTACCAACCTTCAGTCTGCGGATACATTTTATTCTCAGTTACTAGAGTGGTTAAAGGCACGTAGGGACTGTGAAAACAGACAAAGGTACAAGGAAACAACTTTTTGAAGATCAAAAATCTCTGGATGCCATTTTCTAGAATGGGAGGGTTCTCTCTTTTCTTCCTTCAGTGACTCATTCTTTTTTCCTCACAGACCCTCCTAGAGCAGAATGGCTGCCAAGAATTCCTCCTCTGTGACAGAATTTATCCTTGTAGGATTAACCAAACAGCCGGGACTCCAGATCCCCTTCTTCTTCCTGTTCCTAGGTTTCTACGTGGTCACTGTGTTGGGAAACCTGAGCTTGATAACCCTGATAGGGCTGAACTCTCATTTGCATATTCCCATGTACTTTTTCCTCTTCAACCTGTCCTTCATAGATTTTAGTTTCTCTACTGCTATCATTCCCAAAATGCTGTTGAGTTTCATCTTAAAGAAGAATATAATTTCCTTCACAGGGTGTATGACTCAGCTCTTTTTCTTCTGTTTTTTTGTCTTTTCTGAGTCCTTCATCTTGTCAGCGATGGCATATGACCGCTATGTGGCTATCGGTAAACCACTGCTGTACACCATCATCATGTCTCCCCAGGTGTGTTTGCTCCTTTTGTTAGGTGTCTATGGAATGGGGATTTTGGGGGCTGTGGCCCATACAGGAAATATAGTGTTTCTAACTTTTTGCTCGGACAACCTTGTCAATCACTATATGTGTGACATCATTCCCCTTCTTGAACTCTCCTGTGATAGTTCTTACATAAATGTTCTGGTGGTCTTTATTGTTGTGACCATTGGTATTGGGGTGCCCATTGTTGCTATTTTTATTTCTTATGGATTTATTCTTTCCAGCATTCTCCATATTAGTTCCACTGAAGGCAGATCGAAAGCCTTTAGTACCTGTAGTTCCCACATTATTGCAGTTTCTTTGTTCTTTGGGTCAGGTGCTTTCATGTACCTCAAACCACCTTCCATTTTACCCCTAGACCAGGGGAAAATGTCTTCCCTGTTTTATACCATTGTTGTGCCCATGTTCAACCCATTAATCTATAGCCTGAGGAATAAGGACATCAAAATTGCCATGAGAAAAACCTTGAGAAAAACTTTCTTTTAAAAAAATATTAGTAATTGAGAAAAGGAATCCAAGAATTTTAAAACTTTGATGCTTTTTAATCAAAATTACTATTTTTTTTTCCTATGAGGAATCCAAGCTCCAGTGCTTTCTACCTTATATATAAAGTTTTAACTCTCTTTTTTCCAAATGAATTTATTCTCCCCTCCCTTATTCCCAACTCTTTCTTATTTATTTCATGGAAAAAGTTTCTATAATTATAGAATAATTTCATTAGTCCCCTTTATATAATACATCATATTTTGGAGACTCAGAAATATTTGTATGTTGCCCAAGAACATAAAACTACCTGATACCAGAGCTGGGACTGTAATTCCACCTTGTATCTCAATCCACTTTGTTTTTCTTTATGCTATGTTTTCTTCCCTTATCTTTTTCTTGGGAGATTTCATCTCACATATTAGTTGACCTAACACAGTTAAGTTATGAATATATTCACAGTAATTTCATACCATTTTTCACAGGATAATTTTAATGTAGCATATTTTACAAGAATGTAGGAGGTGAAACATTTTGTTGAGGTGGTCTTGGCAAAATGTCAAAATCAGTCTTTGTAAATTTTGTACTGTGTTAGTGGGAAGCATGTCAGGTTTCACATAGAAGCAAGCATGGTGCTCACAGACTTGGTAGGTAGAGCTCTAAGGACACAGCCTGGTGGATTAGAATTTCCAAGGGAGAGATATACAATTTTAAGGGATGTAAAGATGCTGATTGGAGATGTCATATGTTATTTTAAGACTAACAGAGACAACATTTGGAATCTCATTTCAAGAGCTAACTTGGATGTTAGAGGTTCTGCTGGGGAAGTGTGTATGTAGCTCAAGATGATTGAGAGCTGCACTGTCCAATATGATAGTCACTAGCCATATGAGGCTATTGAGAAGTTGAAAATGCAATTATTCATACTGAGACATACTGTAAGTGTTCAATGTAAGTGTGAAATATATTAATACATTAGCTCTTTGAAGAATTATTATGAAAATAGAATGTAAAATATCCCATTAATAATTGTTTATATTAATGTTGAAATAATGAAAGGATAACATTTGGGAATATAGTAAATAAAATATATTATTAAAATTAATTGCCCTGTTTAGTTTTTTAAATATAGCTACTAGCAAATTTAAAATTACGTATGTGGCTTGCATTATATTTCTATTGAGTGACACTGGTCTAGAGGAAGTAACAGGGTAGTAGACAAGTTTTGGGCACATATCAGGGCAGCACCTAGCAGTTGTTTATTAGAAGAAGCAATTACTTTTAAATTTTCAGGCAGGTAGCTTGGTATTCTAATAATAGGGCATATGGTGAAGCGATGGTGATCTCTGGATAAGTTAATAAATTTGAAGTATTATATAAAGGGAAATATAGCTTTATATAAACAACCAGAAGAACAACTTTTTTGTTCTAAGCACACTGTTGGTGGTAAACTTTCTTTAAGAAACAGTGGTAAGTAAAGTGCTGGGGAAATATTTCAATTGATAAACTTTTATAAATTCTCTTCTATTGGGAAATAAGGGAAGTTTGATTAGTGTTTAGTTTTGCCTGATGAATGATTCTGTTCAATGCTGATGAAATAAACACAATTAACATTTAAGGGGAGGATTGTACTTTAGATGAGATTGAATAGACCACTGAACTCAGGGACCTTAGAATTTGGGAGCAGTGTGGGTGTGCAGTACAAAGTAGGTAATAAAATAAACAGAAACCTTTTAAAAAACAAATTTGTAGCCCAACTTATTTGTAGGAAAGCACATAAATCTTAAATGTACAACCCTCTGCAATTTTGTATATGTATGTGCCTGTGTAACCACAACCTAGAACCGGATGTACAACATTTCCATCCACTTTAGATGGTTTCCTCTTGCTCCTTCCTAGTAAATTGTGCCTTTCCTTCACCCCTCAACTATTCATATAAACATGCACTCTTGTTTTGGGCTTCTTTTCCTCAACGTAAAGGTTATGATATTCATCTATATTGTTGTATGTGTGTGGAAATTTTTTTTGTTGGTGTCTAGTATTCCATTATGTGAATATACAATTTTAAAATTTTGGCTATTATTAGCAAAGCTTCTATGAACATTTTTAAAGTCACTATCTCACTCTGTTGCCCAAGCTGGAGTGCAGTTGCACCATCACAGCTCATCACAGCCTCAAACTTTTGGGCTCGGGCTTCAACCTTCTGAGTAGCTGGGACTACAGGTCCATGCCACCATACCCGGCTAATTTTTTGTAGAGACAAGGTCTTATTATGTAGCCTAGGCTGGTCTTGAACACCTGGGCTTAAGTAATTCTCCTGCCTCAGCCTCCCAGCGTGCTGGGATGATAGGTGCGAGCCAACACACTTGGCCTATGAACATTTTTGAATATGTATTTTGGTTGAACTATGTAACCATTTCTTTTGGGTATGTAACTAGATGTAGATTTGCTGGATAGTAGAATAAGCATTTGTTTAGATTTTATAAATACTGTCAAAATGCCTTTTGAAAAGTTTGAATTAATTTGCACTGCTTTCAACAATGTCTGAAAGTTCCTGTTGCTCTACAGCCTCATTAACACTTGGTAATTTTTATTTATCCATTCTGGTGTGTTCATTATGCCTTTTTGTTTTCATTGTCCCGATGATTAAATAATGTTGAGAACATTTTTGTGTGTTTGTTGGCTCCTTGGATACCTCCTTTTGTGAAGTACATATTCAAATCTTTTGCCCATTTGAAAAATAGGAGTTAGTTGTTTTCCGACTGACTTGAAATAATTTAAAAAATTCCACATATAAGTCCTTACATATGTGAGTATATGTGTGCATGTGTGTATAATATATGCACATATGTATAGTACATAATACATATATCCTTTATATATGAATATATACGAATGTCTATTTATCTAGGTATCTGTATCTCCTATCTATATGAATATCTATATCTTCTCCCATACTCTTACTTGCTTATTCTTTTTTAAAAAAATTTTTATTTTAGAGATGTGGGGACTTGGTTATTCTTAATGCTGTGTTTTGGTAGCAACTGTTCTTAATTTTAATGATGCTTGATTTATCATCTTTGCCTTGCATGGTCAGCGCTATCTTTGTTCTGCTCAAGTGATCTCTTACTAATCTTTCTGAGATCAGAGGAAGAGCAATACAAAGGGGTATGGGAAAGAAAGAAGATTCTAGAGAGGAGGCCACACAACACAGTCCTGCCAGTTTCAGGTCTGGATACATTTTGGTTCTCCTGATCATTCGTCTCCACTCAATGCTTACATGATCTCTATCTCTTTTTTTGGTTGAGGCTTTATAGTGGCAAGGCACCTGAGGCCTGAAGATGCCAGGATTACAAGTATTTTCAATTCAACAGACATTTGTATATTTATCCATTTTTATGTTTTTGAGTTTAATAAGATATAACTGACATGCAATAAATTACACATTTCAGAATGTTAATTTTGATAAGTTTTTTTGGCTGACTACAGGGAACTTTATTGATGGCGCATGACTAAGTGGGGCTCCCTAGGTGCCCTCACCATTCTTCTGGCATGGACATTATGAAGAGAGGAGATTCTCAGTGTGGTCTGGGAATGAGTGTGGCAGGTACTCTCCAGCAACTGAGGGACTTTCTCTTCCTCTCATGTTGTCTCTGGGGTTGGTGGTCCGGGGGCTCTTACTCCTTGGAGGTCAAGTGGACCACGAGGGCCACCACCCTGTTGCTGTAGCCAAATTCATTGTCATTTCAGGAAATGAGCTTAACAAAGTGATCGCTGAGGGCAAAGTCAGCCCCAGCATAAAAGGTGGAAGAGTGGATGTCACTGTTAAAAGTTGGAGGACACAACCTGGTGCTCAGGGTAGCCGAGGATGCCCTCTGATGCCTGCTTCACTACCTTCTTGATGTCATCGTATTTGGCAGGTTTCTCCAGATAGTAGGTCAGGTCCATGACAGACACACTGGTGGTGGGGACACGGACAGCCTTGCCTGTGAGCTTCCTGTACAGCTCAGGGAAGACCTTGCCTCATGGCCTTGGCAGCACAAGTGGATGCAAGGATAATGTTCTGGAAGGCCCCAGGACTGTTGCACCACAGCTTTCCAGAGGGGTCATCTATGGTTTTCTGAGTGGCAGTAATGGTATGGATGGTGGTCATGAGTCTCTTCACAATGCCAAAGTTGTTGTAGATGACTTTGGCCAGAAGGGTAACCAGTCGGTGGTACAGGAGGCATTGCTGATGTTCATGAGGTTGTTCTGGTACTTTGCCTGAACCAATCACAAACATGAGGACATCAACGAAGGGGGCAGAAATAATGACCCTTTTGGTTCCCCACTATAAGTGAGCCCCAGCCTTCTCCAAGGTAGTGAAGAAAATGTTGGACTCCACCACATAATCAGTCCCAGTGTGGCACCATTTGATTTTGGTGAGATCTTGCGCCTGGAAGATGGTGATGAAATTTCCATTGACAACAAGCATCCCATTCTTAACTTTGACAGTGTTGTGGAACTTGCCTTGGGTGGTTGGTACTGGAAAATGTAGACCATGTAGTTGAGGTCAATGAAGGTATCACTGATAGGGACAATATCCACTTTGCTAGAGTTAAAAGCAGCCCTGGTGACCAGGCACTCAATATGGCCAAATTCATTCTCTTCAAACTTCACCTTCACTTTGATGTCATGGTGTGGCTAGTGCTGCACAAGAGATGCAGCTGACTGTCGAATGGGTGGAACAGAGAGACTTTGGTAAGTTTTGACACATGTATACACTCATGAAACATCACCACATTCTTGTTCCTTTGAGATTCTCCCCCCTGCTTCCTCTCTTCCACTCTGTAATCTACTTTCTGTGATTAATTTGTTTTCATTTTCAGCATGCAGCATGTGATTATTTTTGTTTGGTTTCTATTATTTATGAATTTTGAGATTCTTCCATGTTGTTATGTGTGTTAATAATTACTTTTTATTGGTGAGTAATAGAAATATTTCATTCTATGCACATACTATCA